CAGAGAGTGTTGAGCATAAATCGATGAAAATTCTTCTTGACTAAAATAATTGGCAAATCAATATACTTAAATTTATCAGTCGTCTATATATAATTACAAATTCAATCGATTGATGAAATCAATTAGTTTATTAACTTATGTAATTAGATGTAATTAGTTTATAACGAATTACATCAAAGTTTGATTAGCAGTTAACTCTATCAGTCGAAATTATTTTGTAATTTTATATATAACGATTGATAATAATTTTGATTATTCACTTGTCGATTCTTTTAATCAGAGTATATTTTCACCGAGATTTATGTCCAACACTGTTCTCAACCTGACGGGAAGCAAATTCGATGCTTCCCTGAAGAAAGCATTTTAGTTACTTCAAAAAGCTAGAAACCAAAGTTCGTGCCAAAACCCAAACTTCTAACATATTCCAATATTATTAATTAAAAATCGGTCTCGCAGGCTTGTGCATGAGTCTTTGTGTACCAGAAAATCACACGAGTCTAGGAACTAAAAAAAGGGAAAAGTTAAACTTCACTATGCGAGCCCGTAACTCTCGACGATTCGTATCTCTCGGAAGCCCGAAGAAATTTGCAAGATTAATATTTTCACGTAGGGAGCCCGCCGAGAGAAGAATAAAGCGAACGTGAGCGCATCGCGGTGTCTTGCGGCCACGGCTGCACCAACGGTATAATTCATATATACTTCGAATTACTTCGCGACATAGTTTTCGCGATCGCGCGGACGAACGGCACGCGCGGGACCGCCGCGAACGATGGTAGTTTGAATAATCTGCACGATTATGGGGGACGAAATAAGCGTCAAACCGTTCTCTCTCTCTCTCTCTCTCTCTCTTTCTCGTTGGCGAGTCACGAAGGGCGCGGTAGAAGTATACAGGCCCCGTGGTGAATATCAACTTGAATTATACCCCCGGTTTGATGCGCGCTCTACAGAATTATCGTGTAAGTAAAGTTTCAATCTACCGTCTGCGAAGAGGATGCGATTCTCCCGGGATGCGCTTTCGTACTTACGAAGATAAGACTCCACCTAGCACATCGACTATAATCCTATATTGCCGATCATGTAATTGAATTAAACGCGGCGGACCCTTTTTTGCGGGGAATATGGCTCAGTAAATATCGCGCGACCGTCCTCGCCATAACCGTGACGTCAAAGTAGACTTATGTATATTTTATCCTCTCGAACAGCACAAATGTCTAGAATACGTTCCAAAGATATTTTAGAGACATCTAAAGTAAATAAATATATTTTTTATCCCCATCATGAGAATAATTTTCTTCCAGGTATGCAGGTGACTGTGTTTTTTTATAAGATGATCGATAGCGATTATTTCGTAAATAATTGACGATATCTATTGAGCAATCATAACTTTGGAAAATTGATTTAAGAAGACGATCTTTCGTTGAATTTATTCATTTTCGTTTTATTTATTTATTCATTTTCGTTTTATTTATTTTCGTTGGAAAATATCTAAGATATATAATAACCTTCTTCATTTATGCTATACAAGTACAAGACTTTTACGGTGTGGTGAAATCCTAGACTTGTAGAATAGATTGTACATTTTTATGACATAGCTGATGACAAGATTGGAAAACAAAGATATGTTAAGCCAAATTTTTTTGGTCACAGTGTATAGGAAGAGGCAATGTAGGGGGCACAAAGAAAGAAAGTGGAATATAAGGTAAAAATATCAAAGTCTGGACACATTAATAACACTAGTACTAATAACAATGAACATTTTTATTGTTTTGGTTGATAAATCCGAATATTTTTAAACTTTCAACGTAAATATATATATATATATATATATATATATATATATATATATATATAT